CGCCCAGAGCTGCAGGAAGTCGGCTTGTGTGCGCCCCAGGCCTCTAGCTTCCATCCAATCTACGATCTCAGCCGAAGAGTTCCAGCAAGGGAAATGAACCTGCCAGCATCGATGGAATTCCTTACTGTCAGTAAAAAACCTCATAGGGTAATATCATGTACTCTTCGACAATAATATCTATTCAGAAGTTCAAAACTCCTTCGTACCTCGTCTCCACCCATGTGCAAAGATTCTCCGAGAGGAAAGATATCCAGTATGTCCCTGTACAGATCACGCAAGACACGGTAGAGGTTGGGGTTGGTGGGGTTAAGTTGACCGCAGGGTGGCTGGATGCAGTACTTGCGCCAGGGTTGTTGATTCACGCAGACTGCCAGCTTCCCCAATCCAGCAGCTTCGCCCCACTGCCAACCGTTACCAGCGTGAGACGGGGCGTCCAGTTCCATAATGATACGTACCCCACGCAGACGTGCGTATTCCAGGAGATAAGCGACATCCTGCGGTGTGTACACCTGACGGGCAGAGTACGCACCAAACCTGCGTCTCGAGATGAAACAGCGTTGTGTTGTACAGAGGGAGTTTCTTTAACGATCGACGACATAAGTATTGTACCGACACAGACAATGGTCCTGCCACCATATTTCATATACATTTTATCAGAAAATCGCTGCTTGTATGAAGTGGTTGTCTTCAGAGGTCCTTGCTGCCTCCATCATGAGGGCTCGCCCTGATGTTGGAGACAGCAAGCACCCTTGAAACGTCGGTAAACTTCTACCAGGCTACATAGCGCAACACCCCACAAGACAGCAACTTTCAGACTCACAGCCGTGAAAAAATCATATCCTACGTTACTTGTATATCTTTCCAATACTCCGTGGGGCAGGTCTCAAAACTCCATTACATTATCATCACTGACGACTAAATTTTTGAGACTACGAACAAACTGTGGCGTCTGTAATCAACATTGTCAGTGCTTTCATGTCTACGTACTGAGGATGGTGCGCGGAGAACCCTCATGTTATAATGAAAACAGTATACAACAATTCAGTGGGGTTACTATGTAACATTCGCAGTTGAGAAGTGACAGTTAAAACTATGAAACTGAGAAGAAACGCGGTACTTCATTTACAAAAGCACTAAAATCCAACGAATACCTGAGATCGGGCCTTTCGGATCTGATCTCTGTAATTATACGCACCTGGAAAGTTGTGGGACGCGGTGGGATTCCAGTGGGAAGCTCTGCGAGTCGGTCGCGTGCCAGTGCAGAACATTCAACTTCGACGCCGCCATGGCGTCTAGAGTGCGCTTCATTGCGTACAGCGGCAGGAAGTTGCGAGCGGTGTCCAGCATCAGACCCCGATGGCGGAAGACCGGGGCGTCACTCAGTCGGACGTTGGTGGCCATGATCAGCAGATGTTTACGAGGCGCACCGCGGCTTCTGCCAGTGGCCCCCGTTGGTGCAGGGACCCGTGCCACGAGTTGACTCAGTGTTTCCAAGCCATGCCGAGCGCCGTATACGGTCTCCGCGCGGATGTTGACCGTCACACCGTTCACTGCCCCGGGCAGAAAAAATACCATCGCTACTCAGTTTCGCCCAAAAGCTATGTCATCTTCAAAACACCAGTAACTAACTTTATTCTTCACCAAATATTATTACGATAACAAAGTCAGAGATGATGCTGCCGCTGGAAAATATAGTACGATTTTGAAGCTGAGGAATGCATACATAATAGTAAGAAATTTGTAAGGGAAGCGACATCTTGCGTAGTTTGGGCCGTTCTTCAAGAAATCAAGTACGACCGTGTTGTCTAGATTCATGTTGTCCACGATAAAGTTTACTGGCGAGATATTTTGAGCACGAAAATAACCTAAGAGTTTCTTAATAGACGGGAAATTTGTTGTCTCACGTCTCATGTAGTTACATTATAAGGGAAACGAACGTTGTGAGTAAAAACCTTTTGTCGTAAGGGATGGCAGGATAGCAGGAGGTTATTCTAGGGTCTGAGAAACTCCGGAAGGTCTGAGAAATCTACAGAGGCAGGTAACAAACAATGTCAGCCGACCTACCTCTCGAATTAGAGACGATGTCGAGTGTGTATGTCTCGTCAGTGTTCCAGCTGAGGCTGAGATCCTCTGATCTGGTAACAAGATGGATGTGTACATCTGTGTCGGGCACGACGGAACAGTTGGTACCGCATTCCACCAGAAGGTTGTCGAGGAAGAGCTGAGTGCAAGCTGCCATGTACTCCCTCGGTCCTCGGTTAGAATCGACAACCTCCAGCAGATGGATACGGATCGCACTCGGGTGGAAGGCTACAACCTGCTCGCCTATTGTTGTGGGACCCGTGGGGCGAGGCCACAGTGCTCCGTACTGGCCACACGTCAGACGACATGCCGACTGAGAACTTCGGGTGATGTTTGAGATACCTCTGCTCGAGGGATACGAAGTAGGGTACTCAGACTTGATGCATCTGCCGGACTTACAAGTCCATGACCACTGCCAACTGAAGAGAAAATAACTTATTTGCGAAACCACCATTTTCTTTCCCTCCACTCTGGCTCCCGAGCAGGCAAGCTCAGCCGAAACGCTGCAGACGGATATTCACCAAACATCAATCATTGGTTCGAGCAAGAATGGGACCATCTTTACACATTTATATATGCAAAGTAACACGGGCTCAATACAAAATTCTGCCATAATCACACAACTCGTAATTTTACGCTTCGTTAAATATTCATAAAGTGGTGAGATGGGTAGATCATGTAGCGGGCATGAGAGAGATTAGACATTTTATCAGCATCTTAGTAAAAAAAAACCTTCTGCAGGAAAGAGCTCTCTTGGCATACCAAGACTTAGATTTGAAGATAATATTAAAGTGGAACATAGTAGGGTGTCGGGTGCGTACTGAATTTAGTTGGTTCAGGACCTGGTTCAGTGGCGGGCTCTTCAGATACGATAATGAACCTCTGGGATAAACAGGTAGAATTCTTTTACCAGTTGAAAAATTATTGGTTTCTCAATAAGGCCTCTGGTCCATGGAATTAATTACTTACATCTGCAACCGGAAGAGAGGTATAGCTTACTGCCATAAATGAACAAAAGTAAGGAATCATGCTAGGCGCATGTTTGCAGCTGCTCTTAAGGCTGTCAATAGCTTTCGCGTGTTTTATAACGTCCTGTCACAGTCGTTACTAAGTCCAAGGTTAAGTCGTTATTGTGATTAATGTGATACATTTCATGACCGTGAAGCCTTTCGCTCTACGCCAGTGTTCCACAATCGGAGTGCCGCAAATTTCTACAACAAACTGTACCTTCGCACGTTAGAGTTACGCTAAGGCATTAGGAAACTTACCTTCCGCAATTAGAATTCACAC